AAAATGTAAGTTTCTTAGAGATAATACTATTTTATTTGTTATAAATACAGATTTTATTTTTCAGAGGCCACAATTTAGAAGATATACATCGTCTTCATGATGGTAATTTACGTCATACAACACGTGGTTTAACTTATTCATTAAATAAAAAAAAACGTTGGTTATTGCCTGATATTATTGAAGAACGTATATGTGAATATAATCCTAAATTAAAAGATTCTAAATTAGAAGGACAACATGAAATATCAAATATTGATGAGCGTCTTAAAATAATTATGTACGAAAATGAAAATATTCGTCATTCATCTACTTGTATACGCTATGGTAATAATCAAATAGAACCACATATTCTTCATAAAAATGGTCGTAGATTTAATTCAACAACATTAACAAAATGGATGGATTTCGATACACATGAACGTCGGAATAGACGTCGTCGACGTAATAATAATACTGATCGAGTAAATCAACCAAATTTTGGTATTCAAGAACGGCCTGGATTTTTTCCCAGTGAAGTAATATATGAATTTTTATATCCAAAACACTTACCATCATCAACATCATATAAAAGTGGAAAAACAACATTAATAAAAGTTTCTGATCGTTATCGTTCTCGTTATGATTATCATGGACGATCTCACAAAGATACAAATAAAAATCGACGAAAAGTTCGACGATATGAATGTAATCAACCTGATATTCATGCACAAGATTATTATATTGAAGAAGATATTAGTAATGATGAATATATAACAATATCATCAGATTTAATCGATGAAAATGATAAATGGTCGATTGTTTTTGAAGATACAGGTAAGTTTTACAATAATTTATTTCAATAAAATTTAATTTCGATCATCTAGATGATCCATTATTAGCTTCTATTAATTTTCCAATCGAATATTTCATTCCATCCACACCATCGACTTGTAAATCTACATCTTTTACGAATGATAATTCATCAGATAATATTAATGATTATAAAGCACATAAATACTTCGAACCTTTACCCACACCTATACCTCCACCTCAAATATCTTCAATTACAACTGATGAACAATTACATTCGTTTCAGTATAATAATGAATCTGATTTTCTTACTTTAATGCAACAATCAACAATGAAAATCACTCAAGCAAATCTTTCACCACCAATATTTCTTCAAAGAACATTATCATCTTCTTTTTCTGTTATTTATACATATGATCGACAATCATCTAAAGTCAATGTAACTCTTAAATATACTGGAATACGTCCTAAATTTAGTTATTCTACAAGTAAAATAACTTTAGAAGAATTCATTCAAATAATATCGGAAAAATTAGATGAAAATCCAATCGGTAATATGACTAAATCATTTAGAAATACTCGTTTTGATGTTGATGAATTACGTGGTTCATTACCATTACCGATGACTATTTTACAAAATATGCTTTTAACTCAACCTAATTCTACAAATAAACAAAAAATAATCGAAAAAGAAAATATACATATTCATGAAAAATATCAAGAAGAACAATGGTTTGATACAACAAAAACTATATCTGATTCATTAGAATGTTCAATTTGTTGTGAAACTTTAACTACTAATAATGCTTGTCAATTACTTCCATGTATGTATATTTATCTATAAACAAATTTCAATCTATATTAATTTTTTTGTTCATTAGGTTATCATACACTTTGTCATACATGTTTAACATCATATATTCGTACAAGTGTATCATCAGCAACATATTCATCAACAAGTACATCATTAATAACTTGTTTTCAATCAGATTGTTCAACTCATATAAATCCATCTCTTGTACAAGGATTTATTTCATTTGAAATCTATGAATCATATATTCAGTCATTAATTGATCGTCATATATTTTCAACAGGTAACTATCGAAAATGTCCATCACGAGTATGTTCAAATTTACTTATTATTGATGATAATACAAAATTAACATCAATGTGTTCATGTGGTCAACGTGTTTGTTTGCAATGTTTTGAAGAATATCATTTTCCAGCTACATGTCAACAATATAAATTTTATGTTGCACGTTTACGTGAAAGTGGAGATGATTTATTAAGTGAATCAAAAATTGGAGATAACTCAAGTTGTTATATAGCTGAAGGAAAAAATTGTCCAAATTGTGGAGAATTTGTTGAAAAGAATGGAGGTAAATTTTAAAATCGAATACTATGATAGATCTAAATTATTTTCTTCTAGGTTGTCCACATATGACATGTAAATGTGGTAATGAATATTGTTGGATGTGTTTAAAACGTTGGTCAACACATAATTCTTCTTCTTGTAGTAATGTACCTGAATCAACACATGAACTTCGTTCATCAACACGAAATCGTTTACATAATAAAGCTATAAATCATCGTCGTCAACGTAATCAACATACATTTTATACATTGTCATTAATTGCACGACAATCAAAAGTTTGTTCAAAATATCATGATATTCTACTATCAACTTATATCGATTTAAATACATTAGCAGAATTTGTTTATGTTTTATTACAACGACGACGTACTAATATTTATATTCGTGCTGTTTTAGGTCAAACTGCAAATCGTTTAGAACAAGATGCATTTCAAATCAAATTACAAATTGAATGTCAACAAATTAAAATAAAACATATTGAACAAATACGAAATCGACTTGAACGAACATTATTAAATTTATTACATATGAAAAATACGAAAGTTTTGATGTAATTTAATTTATATATATATATATATATTTTTTGTTTATACGGTGAATTTAGGTCTGTGATGTAGTTATTTAAAATAAATTTTATTTTTGATCTATATTTTTCAATAATTATTTAGTTTTTATTTACGAAATCAGTATTCAAAGGTGATTTGTCATTCGGTTAATTGGAGTACAGCTCAATGCAGAAAAAGCGGACTTCTCTACTTAGATAATTAGTTAAATTTTAATTTACATAAATAATTTTGGTACAATTGCTATTTTTAAAAAATCCAATCAAAGCAATTTCTTTTTTATTTCATCATACAATTATCTTTCTATTAAATAGTATGGATTAAGAAAACTATCTTAACTTCCATTCAAATCAATTAAATTATTTTAAAAAAAATCTTTCTCCTATATTCAATAAAGTCTATATTCCATTCAAATTTTATAATAGTATATGTAAAATGGTCAAAGTATCTTGATAAATAGTAATTGTATCAGATAGATAAAACAGTTTGGTATTTATAGAATTGATTGTTACCCAGTCAAGCAATTCTTCTTAAGAAATAACAAAAAAATTAGATTATTTTCGTTTTCTACTATAGAAAAGTTCATATTTATTGAGGAATATTCTTCATCTCAGTATAAATATTATTTCGATAAACAAAACTAATCAGTATTTTATTTTTTTCGTTCTCTCGGCTTTGTGTTCTTCTATATAATACATGACGTTGTGTGATATGAACACAAATGGATAATAGAGTAATATACTGAGGATAGTGGTAACACTACCTCACCTCTTCGTGATTGTAATTACAATAAAATGAATATTCGAATAAGAAAAAAATAATCTATAGATCTTATTCTTTGTTACAATGATCCATCAATTTTATTTTGTATTTCAAAATGTTTATTATCTTCATTGGTTATTATCAAAGAGTTTTTCATAAAAAAAACAAGTCAATATAAAACATATCGAATTATTTTTGTTGAAATTTTCGATAATTATCTATATTTATGTGTGTTTATTCATATTTCTACCATTATGCACTACAATCTATAATATTTTTTTTCTTTTTCACCTATACATCAACTAACGGATAGAATAATCGTCTGTCCGTTTATTGATTAAAGTACATGAAAAACTATTCTAATCTCATATAAATTTTGGATTGAATAACATTTCAATATATGAACAATCTGCAGATAGACTATAGACGATCTTTTAATTAAATATATATTTATTTAATTTCTATATGATTCAACGAGATATAATAAAATAAATTAATTCGTCGATTATTTTATTTTATTTTATTTCAAAGTAAGAGTGATACTTTTGAACTATAGACAAACTTATTATGAACACAAAATAACGTTATTTTTCTCTTTTCTTTTCGTTCTGTTACACTAGCACGTTGTCTATAAGAGATAAAACCTTACCTTTTATTAATAGTGTGTTAATGTAACAGGATGAAAAAAACTGACTAGTGTAAATAAGCAAGCGATTACTTTTTTTTTATATCTTTTCAACGAAATAATCTGTAAGAGATACAAATGAAATACATTTGCATAGATCTAATATTTATTAATCTTTTATACTAGATTGAAAAAAGAGAATAAATATATTGAATGAACTATTATTCAATATTTTAATTCACTAAATCAAGTTATGTTGAGTTTGGATCTATATGTATATCATCTAAATTATCTTGGTTGAGACATACGTTCTTGATAATAAATTCATGTATTTAACGTGATCTATTCCAATTAAGATATACTCTGATATAGCGATTAATTCAAAATTCAATGTGAATAAATGACTCAGAATAGACAAAGAAATGAGTTAAGAGAACAAAATATATACGTATATGTAAAAATTTAACGAAATGTACTGATCATTTATCACTCTAAATATATATCGTCATGTTCAATTATTACTTCTATTCCAAAGCTATTTATGATTAATGTTTCATGTTAGCCTTGTTGATCAGTGAGTAACTATATACGACAAGATTTTGATTCAGAGTTTATTATTATTTTCTTTGTAAATAAAACTCTAGTTGGAGAGTTTTCTTACTTAAATGATTACAAACAAGTCTTAACATATCAAATCCAATGAATTTCGTAATTATTTAAATACTCTAAAGTTTGAGATATCAATTGGTTAGAATTAAATATAATCATGTATGATAAATGCCAACTGAAAATAATACTTTATTTAAATTTCCTAAACTTGAGTATTTTTTATTATTATTGATAAATGAATTATTTTTATATATATGATTTATAGAGTGGTGGTTAATTAACCATACAAACTACAAAAATTGTTTTAAAACTAATAGGACAAGATATATAGAATAAGATAAATAAAAATATATAATTTGTTTGTTTATCAAAAGGTTATTAGTATTACATAAGACAAATTTCAAAGTGATGAGTAGACATGAACTAAGATGAAAGAAACTTCTACTAAAATATCTCTAATGACTCATCATATAGTATAGTATATTATATTATTTTAAATAAATATCTGTGATATATTCTTATTGATCATCAATAAATAAATAATCATTTTTTTAAATCGTTTCATAAAAATAATTATAGTCGGATAATTTTAATATAAATACAAATAAAGATTCAACTGAATAAATTTATTTTGAAAATCACTTAAAAGATTAAAGCAAAAAAGTCAAAGATTTGTTTTGATTTTTGCTATAGTTATACGACAATATTAATCTAAAATATAACTATAAAGTAAACAAAATATTTTTTCAATCTATCACACTACTGCTTGAGAACAATTCTTACATAAAATACGCTAATTCAAACAGTAATTCTATTCTGATTGTTTTTTTCACAGTGATATAATAATCCTATCTTAATTTAAATTTATAATTGAAATCAATTTTTTTCTCTTTATTTTATTTTATTTTATTTGTAGAAGAACTCAAACCGAAAAAATACTATTATAGTAAAAGAAATTACATTTTTCTACTGTAATAGAAAAATCAGTTGTAGATTATATTTATAATTAAAATAAATATTTTTTTCTTATTATACTTCAATTATAGTTAAATATCGACACAAACTTCATTTTGAACTGATTATGGTATAATATGAAATACTTAAATATTTATTCATATATCTACTCCAATGATAAGAGACGTGTATTGTTTAATATGAAAATAACAAAAAAACAAAGATATACTTGATGTATTGAGATGATATTTTACAAAGTAATACTTGTTATATTCTTTTCTTTCTGGTCAATAATACAATGACATAAGTACTGTCCTTTCTTTATTTGCCTTGTATTATTCGCGTGCATTTTTTGTTATTTATTATTGCTTTTTTATTTGTGTAATTGGTCCTTCGAATATAATTGCAAAGATATAAAGTATGTGACAAGATACAATAATGATCGATGGAGAATATTCTTTCGTTTGTATTTTGCTTTCATCATTCACCTATCCTATTGGATTTTCTTTTTTTTTTCTTTTATACGATTGCTCCTTCTCCTCTTTAATTTATATCCATTGTCAATGAACAATAACGAAAAGAAATATTCTTCAATGTGCAATAAAGAAATTTGTTGACCTAGGTGATACTTAAAAATATATTTATATATATGAAAAAGTTCAAATTCAATGTGCTACATTTGAAAGTTAATTCTTACGATTATATAATAATTCGAACATATTTTTTTTGTTATATTACATATGAGATTGGTAGGACAGATACGTTTATTACTTTATACTAATGATAAATCGTTTGAATATCGAAATTTATAATGATCTTGTGTATAAAATCGATTTTAACAGGATTATAAAAGGCATTTGATTGTATGTTCATCATATAATATAATCGAAACAGATTTCAACTCGAAAAATTCATAAGATCTAGCAAAAAAATGATAACTTAAATATTTAAATGAAGTTTCTCGGTATCTTAATTGAAAAACTACACTATATATTCTTTAATCAGATTAAGTATTACTTTTACATTGATTGTTTTCATGTTAACTGATGCTATCAAATAATTTTTAATGAAATAGTATAAATGTTTCATACCCAAAAGAAATATTTTTTCTGCAATAAAACTACACATTTTTAAAAAACTAATTATATATTTTATCGTCAAAAAAAACATAGTATAAACTAGACAATATTATCAGTTAATACTGAAATGATATAGCTATTTAAATTAATGTAAATAACACAATTTTATTTATCATAAATACTTTTCTGTCGATATTCTTAATTCATATTTATCCTATACTGTTTTTTCTACAGTACACCTTTTTGTATATCTACATGTGCTTTTCTTTTCATATAATTAAGCATAGATATGTCGTTCTCATACTCTTCAATCGTATGTTAATATCACTCATACAAGTTGTGGTTAGCTGAAGCAAGTCGTATATAACAAAAAAAAATTTATTTTTCGTATTGTCTTATACACTCTTTCATTTATCCATTCAAATGATACAGTAAGATATTATCTGTTTCAGGCACCTATCATTATCTTTTAAATTATCATTACTGTATATTAAGATACTCTTCTACTTGTTATATATCTACTTTCCTCAATCATCTCTCATTTATTCAAATTCATCTCACTGAACAGTTCAGTGTCCGTTGCTACAACTCAAAAACAAGATGCTATACAATGTATCAAGTTAACGTTTTATTTCTGCTGGTCTAAGATAAAAAATAGTCTAAAAACTGCAGCAATGGTATATGCAGTACAAACAATGAATGTTGTGTAACATATCGTTTTATTCTTTATTTTTCATCTCTTTTACGTATTTAGTATCTACTTCTTCATACAAAATCACGCCATTCTAAAGACTAAAGTCATGGTAATTATGGTGAAAATGAACAGTATTATTTTGATTGATATATATATGACATGTATTTAGTATATCTTTTTTATTGATTCAAGGTCATCATCTTCTAAATGATACAGCAATATCAAAGAGCAGTTAATAAAAAGAATTCAACAATAAGTATTATGGAAAATTAACACATCGTATAATGAAATAGATCTGGATATCTTTTTTTATTACTACTCTTGATTTTATTAATCGAATATATTATTATTCATGGAAGGTCAGCTTAATCTAAGTAATCTAACAACGCTTAGGACGATGAAAAAAGTTGATACAATGAAGTGGATTAAGGTATTTTTTATTTGTCCCTTATTTTGTTTTTTGAGTACATATATTATTATTTATTGAAGGTCATCTTAATCCAATGAAACCAGTAGTGGGTACTATGGTAAAAATGGAAGTTATTATGAACTGAATCTGGGTATTTCTCTTTATTTTTTTTATCAAATATATTTATTACGTATTGAAGGTTAGGTTGATCTGAAGAATCCGGCAATGACTATTATGGCGAAAAGAAATGGTATTATAAATTAAATTTGCATATTTTTTGATTTTCCTAATTTTCCTTATTGAGAATATTAGAAATCATTAAGAATCAAGTAATCTGGAAGAATTCAACAATGACTATAAATTGAATCGGTATCGTTTTGTTTTCAATTTTATTTATTGAATACATATTTATTCTTTGAAGGTCAGAACAATCTGAAGCATTTAGCAACAACAAATATGTCTACCATCTGAAATTAAACTTTGACTTGAAATAACAAACTACACGTAACGATACTCACTATATTTTTTTGCTTGCTATGAACAGTACTATTTTGTTCTAGTTTATATTAATATCTCATTTTTGTTTATTAGTTCACAAACAAAAATAGTTTTAGATTCAAAAGTATAGTATTATCAAATTTGAATACAACACGTTTTTTGTTGTTGCATAGAATGAGATGGTTTTTGTTTAGATGTATGCTGATATTTAAATATATGCCTTTGAATACTTGAGAGTGTAGATTTAAATCAAAACCGAATAATCACATCCATACTCACATCCATTCGTTCGTTTTTTTATTAACACAAACTATTAAATGTTAAATAAGAAACTTAATAATTTAACTTCATTAAGTGAAATTTAAGTTAAAAGCTCACCTACAATTTTGACTGATCTGAAAAATTATCATTTCTATTTTAGATATAAAACTCTATTATATTAATCCAGAAATTAATACTTAAACACAAAATACTAATGTCAACTATAGATAATAATACATCATTAGCAGCAATAGCTTTAATAGGTATATCCTGTGAATTTGCAGGTGATACTCCTTCACCAAATGATTTATGGGATGCATTGAAAGAAAGTCGTGATGTTGGTAGTGCGATACCAATTGGTCGGTTTGATCTTGAATCATTTACTGCTCATATGCTTAATATGGATAATAATGGACAACTTCGTCAAAAACTTCTTCGTACTGGTTATTTTATGTAACATCAACAATGGAATATGTTTGAAGCAGGCAGTGTTGATATGCCATCGTTTACTCATGTTAAAATTTGTTCATTTACTTGATGATGCTGGATAAAGTGTTGAAAAACTCAATGGTACAAAAACATCAACACATATTGGACAATTTCCAACAGATCATGCAATTGCAACAATTCGTATGAGACCTGAACATCGATCAAGATTTCATGGACCAAATACATTATTATATAATGCATCAGCACGTTTATCATATCATTTTAATTTACAAGGTTCAAATTTATCACTAGATGTTACTTGTTTATCATCTTTAAGAGTTTTACATATGACTGTACAATGTCTTCGTACAAATGAAGCGGATATGGCTGTATGTGGTGGTGTTAATGGAATTTTTGCACCAGAAAGTTTTCTACAAAGTTCACTTATTGGTGCACAATCACCTGATGGAAGAAGTCGACCGTTTAGTGCTGATGCTAATGGTTATGCTAAAGGTAAAGAATTCAGTTGATTAGTTTTTTTATTTAGAAATACATTTCAATTAAAATATTGTGTCTAGATGACGGTCTTGGTTTTTTATTATTAAAACAATTAAGTGATGCTGAACGTGATGGCGATCCAATTGAAGCTAATTGTTTAGATCGATTTTTTAATCGATCAACTCTTGATCCACCATTATTATTAGGTTCAATTAAAAGTAATTTAGGACATACAGAAGATGCAGCTGGTGTAGCATCAATTATTAAAGTTGCTATGTGTATGTATCATCGTGGTATTACAGTAAATATGCAGTTTACTTCACTTAATCCAAAACTCGAAGCACAAAAATATAATCTACATATTCTTCAAAATTTTATACCATTTCCATCCGTTTCAAATAATGAAAAAATAGCTATTGGTGTTAATTCATTTGGAATGGTTGGTTCAATGACACATTCTATCATTGAAGAATATCAACCAATAAATAAAACATCAATTGAAAATGGTCATATCGATGAAAATCATATTAAAAGCAAACAAGAATATTTTATTCTTATTTTTTCAAGTAAGTTATTTTTTCTTTTCATTCATTAAATAATTTATTTCTTCTTATTCAGCAAAAAGTCGTCAATCTCTTAACGATCAATTAATGATATAGATAATGATGATCATTAAGCTTTTCTTCAACATATATCACAATAACTTCTTCTAAAAAGAACTATTAGTTATCAACATTCATCATTCTTTGTTTTTTTTTAATCGTCAACAATTACAAGAACAAATCAATGCTTTTCTGACTGAACAAGCATCACCAGGCCTTTCAATCATATCACGTCCAACAAAACTATTAGCACAGAAAATATGTTTTGTTTTTAGTGGACAAGGTCAACAATGGTGGTCTATGGGTAGACAATTATATGAAAGTGAACCTTTATTTAGTAAATGGATTAATTTAATTGATGGAGAAATGACAAAAATTAATAAGGGTGACTGGCGATTATTAGAAGAATTAATTGAAAAGAAAAATGAACAAGAATCTCGTATTAATGATACAAATATTGCTCAACCACCATTATTTGCTATACAAGTTGCATTAGCAGCTTTACTTGTTTCATGGAATATTTATCCATCATTTATAATATCACATAGTGGTGGTGATCAAGCAGCTGCTTTTGTTGCTGATCGTTTAAGTTTAAAAGGAACTGTTCGTGTGTTACCTCTTTCAATGAGTGAAGAAGAAGTAGAAAACAAACTTTTGAAAGGTATTGAACATTTGGCTTGTATTGCTGTTGTTAATAGTCCTCGTTCAGTAACAATAAGTGGTGATGAAAAAACTATTGATGAAATACAACAAGTTCTTTCCATATCTTATCCAAATGTATTTGAAGCAGGTCTTCGTATTGAAAATGCATTTCATTTTTCACATTGAAAGATATTCGAGGATTTCTAATACAAGATCATCAACAAATTTTTCATTCAACGTGTGCAAAAGCAAAACTTTATTCAAGTGTTATTGGTGAACAAATGAATGATAATATACCAGTTGATAGTCAAATGTAAGACAAACTGCTCGATTTTATGATACTATAACATTAATTATAAAAAATGAAGCAGCAAATGTTTTTCTTGAAATTTCACCACATCCAGTTTTAGCAACATCTATTCGTGAATGTTATAAATTAACAAATCAACAACAATCATCACCACTTATTCTTCTAAAATTGAAACGAAAAGAAAATGAACAAATAACATTACTTACTAGTTTAAGAATATTTTGATAATTTTCCATTATATAAATTTCATCTTAGTCCGAGTTGGTATGAATCAAAAGATTCATCTATACAACGTTTAGCTAATCGTATATCTACTCATCCATTACTTAATATTCGCCAATTAAATGAACAAACAAGTGCAACATGGAAAAGTCTTATTAATATTAATTTACCACAACATTCTTTTTAAAAGATCATAAAATTCAAGATGCAATTTTTTTCCCGATTGTTGCTTATCTTGAACTTGCAACAGCTGCTTGTCAACAATTACTTGCCCCAAAAGAAGATGATCAACAACAACCAACAATTATTTTTGAAAACGTTAATTTTTTTAAAGCACTTATTCTTAATAAACATGAATTAGTAGAAGTATTTACACAAATAATTATGCCAATGCGTGAATGGTATATTATATTTTGTAATCAAGATAATCTTAATAAATATTTATTAAATCAATTTACTTTATATGCACAAGGTAAAAGTGAAATTGATTCTAAACAACAAAAATCATTAACAGTACCCGATAGATGGACCATACAAGATATACGAAGTGCTTATGCACATCTTCCAGCACGTGCTTATCAATATGAATCCAGTTTTGAAAAAATAAAAACAGTACATGCTATTTCAACTACAGTTATATCTCAATTATCAGATGATAATAATAATTGTTCATCTTATTATTTACTTCATCCATATCAAGTTCTATTACCAGGTGTTGAAACAATATTTCTTCCAGTACGTATTCTAAAATCTATTTATTCAAGTAAAACAAAAACGAATCAGTCAGCAAATATCGAAGTATGTGGAAACTATTATGACAATATATGTGGTATAGGTCAAGAAGGAACATATAGTCTTGATTTATGGACCTTTCCAATGGATAATAAAATCGAAGAACCAATATTTACATTTGAAGGTGCTGTTATTCAACAAGTTCAAGGTGCACATTCTGGTCGATGGTCAATGGAACAAACAATTTATGATAAATTAAATCTAACAACTGATTTACCTAATAAAGATCATAAACTATATTTAAATACAATTATAAAAGATTATTGTATGAAAAGAGTATCGATTGATTCACCAATAATAAAAGATAAATCAGGTTTACTTCCATCACCTAATCGAATTCTTAATAATCAACTTAATTCTATTATTAATCAAGATTTAATTGAATCAATAGAACCATTGAATGAACTGGCTGCTTATTATGCTCAAATAGCAGTTAAAGATCTTGATTTAAATCATATACATCATCTATTATTAAATGCATGTCGTTCTCTTGCTTCCAATTTACATTCAGAACAAGCAGTAACATGGCATTCAACACAACTTCGCCTTATTCAATTAAGTGAACGTTTTCCTCGTTTAAAATCATTTTTAATCATATTAAATAAATATGGTTTACATTTAAAAGATATTCTTAATGGAGAAAAAAATGGATTAGATATATTTGTTTATGATGATGAAATTGAACAAATTTTTCATTCGATTTGTCAATATTTACAATTACAATATAAACAACAACAAACTAAAGATAATTCATTTGAGAAGTATCGGCTACGTATATTTTTGTTAACTGATAGTGGTTGTTCAGATGTTTTACCTATTCTTGATCTTTTTTTTAGTTTATCACAACAAACACGTTTATTAATTGATTTACATTATGCAGATTCTAATCCAACACAACTTGCAAATGCTCAACAAACATTTAATACACATATAACTAATCAAACAATTGATTTCTATGATAGTAAAACACTTGAGAAAACACCAATAGAATCATTTGATATTATATTTTCTGCAAATCAACTTCAAGAAAATCAAGATTTAACAAGTTGTTTAATTGATCTTCGTCGTTTACTTGTTCCTAATGGTCTTCTTTTATTACTTGAATTAGTTCATGTTCCTCTTCATTTTGATGTTATTTTTGGTTTTTTTGATCAATGATGGTCATCTGATGATGATAATAATAATCGTGTACTAAATAATATTCAACAATGGACAACATTATTAGAACAAATCGAAGGATTTAATATTATTGAATCAACATTAAATCAAAATGAAAGTACATTAATTATTAGTCAAAAAACAATATCAAATGATATATTACAAAGACTTAATGAAAGAAAAAATTAATCATGGTTAATACTTATTAAAGATGATCAAAATAATAAAAATATTTCATATTCAAAATTCAGCATTAAATATTATTTGTTCTGCAATATCAGTTTTTCTAACAACTTATAAACAAGTATCTATTATTTTTGCATGGCAACTTGATCAAATCTTACTTAATGAAAATAATGATGATTTAGCATTTAAACAAAATGAAGAACTTATATGTGGAACATTATCACGTATTCTTCAAATAATTAAAAAATCATCACCATATTTTCATCCATTTGTATATGTTCTTACAGATCATGCTCAGTTTAATGATGATTCTAATTTTAATATAATTCCATCACCATTTATTGGTCTTGAACGAAGTTTAACAACTGAATATGAACGAAATCGATTGAAACTTATTGATCTTCAAACATCATTAAATAATAATAATCAATCAATATTTATTTATACTTTAATAGAATATATGATTAATTCAAGATAATCAACTGATACTTGTCAAGTTGTTCTTCGTCTTAATGATACAAATCAAAATCAAGTTCAGCATTTAACATGGCATTATGAAATGTTACAAAAATATGTTAATGATAATAATGAACAAGAGAAATCTAAATACAAAGAAATATCTATTATACCTAAATGAAATGCTGATCAAAAATGATTTCGACTTCGTGTACCACTATCTCGTTTTCTTTCGAAATTAACATGGATTGAAGAAGATAGAGAAGAAGAATTATTACCATCAGATATGATAGACTGATTTCGCTGGATTTGTTGATCATCTATCACCTCTTATTCATATTATACTTGAAGAAACATTTCATTTATTTGTTCAACGTAAATTACATGCTGTTGAACCAACAATTTGTTATGAATCATCTTAAATAATAGAAGCATTATTAAGATATAATAGTGGTCAAGTTATGTATAGAACTGTTTTTCGTATAACTTCATCTGATCAACCATTAACTATTAATAAAAAACAATCGAATAGTTTATTAAAAGGTAATCATATCTTTTTTTTTTCTTTCAATTATTATTATTTTTTAATTAATAGTTGTAAGTGATAATACAATGTTTTCATCAGAAATTTATAACCAAGGAACAATTTTAATATCTGGTGGTTCTGGTGGTCTTGGATTGACAATGTCTCAGTGGATGATAGAAGAACGAGGTGTAAAATGTATTATTCTTATGAGTCGTCGGACATCAGCTGAACTTGAACAGTCTTCGAATCCACAATATGATAATTGGTTACGATTGAAACAAACAATAAATGAATATCAAGCTTATGTTGATGTTGTTCAAGCAGATGTTACAAATTTTAATCAAGTATATGATCTGATCGAAAAATTAAGTCGAACCTCTTATCCTGTTCGAAGAGTTATTCGCAGTGCTGTCGTTGCAGAAGACCGAACTTTAGCTAAAATGACACAAGAATATTTGACACATGTTTTAGCAGCAAAAGTTCGTGGTGCTTGGAATCTTCATCAAGTAATGCAACTCACTCATGCTCCCCTTCATTTTTTTCTCACGTTCTCTTCAATAAGAAATCATCTACTTGAAGTGGCATCGTCCGGTTACAATGCTGGTAATCAATTTCTCGATGCTCTTGCTCATTATCGCATCACTCAACAAAACTTACCTGCTCTTTCAGTTAGCTTACCTGCTGTAAGTGGTGCAGGCATGTTTCATCGACAACGAGATATGCTCAGCACTTTACAAAGTACACATGGCTTTGAAGTATTACCACCAATAGCTGTATTCGAGTTGATCGAACGCTTTCATACAAATCAGAAGACTTGTCCATGTCCTGTTATTTTTGCTGTTAATTGGCAAATATTATATGAAAGACGTCACAAATTACCAATATTTCAATTGAATAAAATAGTAAAAGAACGCTATACTACTATGAAACTCGCAAATATATCAACAACATCAACTGAAATGAATAGCACAACTACTTCGAACTTGAATCGAAAGGAAACTATTATTGAACGAATTCAGATGGCTGTAGCTCGTCTTCTGGGCTCAGCCGATATTGAGCGTATCTTGATTGATCGTTCATTGATTAGCCAAGGTATGGACTCATTAGCAGCTCTTTCAATGTATAATTGGTTAGGACAAGAGACTGGTGTTTATATACCATTAGTTGATCTACTTCAAGGATATTCTATTGAAACTATTGCAACAGTAATTCATAATAAGCTCAACGAACGACATCAAGTTGTATCATCGACTACTAAAGAAGAGCACATGGATGCTGATCTAATCAAAGAAAATGAAATAAAACTATCTCATAACTCTAATTACACTGGCATAGAGAATATCATCTGTCTTCAAAATCCACTGCAATGCAATAGTGATGTTTTCTTCTGTATTACAGAGCAGTCAACAAGCAGTACTGATTACCTAAATAAATTATTCATGGACAAAATATATAAGCAACAAAATCAAACAAGACCAGTTATGATTTATGCTATCCAAATACCATCAGTAACATCAACAGCATCGACATCTACTTATGCTCGTGATATGATTTTACAAATGCGTCGTATCCAACCACGTGGACCTTATCAATTAGTGGCTGTCCGCAACAAACAAGAAGAAATCATTGCACATGAAACGATCAGGCAACTCAAAGATCATTTAATGATAATTGATATTCGATTATTTCTTTTGAACGATTAGAATCAACAATAATAATAACATTAACACTCCGAATATTGATGGTCGGGTTAGTTTGAACTTCTTTTCTTATTTACTAATTTTAATATTTATCAGATATCACACTATAGAAATACTCGTAGAATTCTTAGTCATCAAAATAAGGAAATTCAGTAGTAAGAGTTACGCATCTTAGTACTCAAGTGAAATGTATCAGAAACTCAGCATTCTTATGTATTTTAGCAAGAAATATATAGTTTTACATAAACTCTTTTTCCCAAAATCTATTACTGCCTGTTCTTAATAAATGATTTTATCTATTTTACAATGAGTTGCAAAAGAAAATTATCGATCTTCGAAAAACTCTAATTCTTCATATGTTATTTCATTCATTCACGAAAACTCAAAATTTTGATGATCAAAAAAACATTAACTCTTCGACTATTCTTCATATATTTCTATATGATGATATTTGTTCTAAAGAAGCTTTTTTTTGTGTGGATATTTACTAATAGTTAATCAACTTAGATACTAACAGTGCCAAACTCACCTTATCTTTTTCTTTCTTATCTAATATAATATCATATTATCTCAGTTCGTTTTCTTGTGTGATTGTGAAATATTATTAGATGATAGCTCATCGAGTCTTTATATGAACGATAGAAACTACAGTCTCAATTTTCTAATTACAATAATAAATTACAAATTTAATGATGTTGAACTTTTTTCTGATGTCTTCAAATTCATGGTTTCTTTTCGCTTATCTTTTTATAATTTCTAGATTGTAATCGGCTTTTTGCATTAGCAATAGATATCTTTACAGTTGTTTATTACACAAAAATGTTTCAAAAAAAGAAGCAAACAGCAGCGACTACTGATCATAAAGTACAACAACTGAAGATTTCTGGTCGAACAGAAGCTGTAGCTTCATCTGCTCAACAGCGTATCTACATGCATGAAAATCTTTATTTTAGTGGTTCCGATTTTTCTGTCTACAATAGTCTGATTCCATTGCAGATCAAACGAGGTTCAGTGTCAATAGAACATATTCGTTCATCCTTAGTATCAATGATTCGGCAGCATACAGTTTTTCGCACTGCCATTCGTTTCAATCCAATGAATAATCAAATTGAACAATACATTCAACCGCTCACCGACGAGATCTATTCATTTGAACATTCACGAGGTGTTTCCATATTGGAACAACTAGATCGTCTATTAACGAACGAATCAATTGGAAAACATTTCAATGTTGAAAACGGAAAAGTTTTACGATGCCATGTGATGCAACGATCTGCTGAGCGTTATGATGAATTACTACACGAAGGTGATCTTATTATTTTTGTGATTCACCATATAGCATTTGATCTCAGCTCTAGCAAACCATTTCTAAAAGCCTTTGAGCGAGCATGCTGGGCGACTGAATATCAGCGATCAGTGTTAAATATTCCACAATATATTGACTTTGCATTGTACGAACAGGCACTGCTAGCCGACACAAACGCAGAGTCAAAAATGAACAAGGCTCGTCGGTTTTGGGCTAATCTTATGCATGGATACAACTGGGATAAAATACGATATTTGGTGCCCAATGAAGATCAAACTGATCGACTTCATTCTGGCCGTGGTTATAAAACTGCATTTATTATTAATCAAGATGTAGTTGATGCAATGATGTTATTTGCTTCAACCAACAACGTGACAATGTTTTCATTGTCGCTTGCCTGTTATTATGTATTTTTATTTAAACTAACCAATCATACTAATGACTTGTGTGTAGTAAGCAGTGCAGCTAATCGGTCTGAGAAAAAGTTACAAGATATGATTGGTATATTTATCAATCTTCTATTATATCGAATCAAAATTGACCCAACTGATACATTTAAACATCTTGTGCAACAAGTACAACAACTAAGCAATGAAATTCTCATACATAGTTCTTTACCTCATCAACAGATTATTGATTTGCAAGGCAAACGAGAACATCATGTATTACCTTCAACGTTTTTTCAATATGAATCCTTGATTTCATCGATGGTACAGAAAAACACAATCGAAATATCTCTGAGCGAAGGTTCGTTTGTAAGTTCCTACTGTGATCGAGATCTAAATCGCGAAGACGGTATATCACGATTCGATATGTCTCTTACAATTATCCATGACCATCATACGCGAAGTACAGAATGTTTTCTGAATTGTTCGGCTGATATATTTAAACATCAAGATGATGTCGATCTACTATCAAAGCGTTTCCAGCATATTCTTACGCAACTCTTTTCAGTTCCGATGCTTCAAGAATCCATCCAAAAACTAACTATCGTTCTTCCTAGCGAGCAAAAACCATTGTCAGAATCGAACAGTACACAGATACATCTGTCTAATCCAAGTAAATCCACGATTTATAAAAGTTCAGCCGTCTACCAGCAAATGTCGATGTCCGAAGCGAGTATATTCTGGCTTAATGCTCTTCATGATTGTAAACTCGATCAGCCTTTATCATTACCATTTGATCGATATCGTCTCTCAAATGAGCATCAAACTTGTCAAATAACATCTATTTCATTTGATTTTGGTCAAGATCTGTCACATGACTTTCTTATTCATGCATCATTAAATAACATCTCCCTTGGACATCTCATATTTGCTATTTATTTCGTCTTTCTATTTAAACTAACTAATGGACAAACAGATTTATGTCTGGCTATGAACATCAATAATCGATATAGACATGAACTCAAATTAATCATTGGACTGTTTGAGAATGTCATTCCATTACGATGTCAACTAGATCCTCATTGGTATTTTCATCAATTACTCGAACATGTTCGAGAGATAACAACAAATAGTATGAAATATTCATATTTTCCACTTCAACGTATTCTCAATCAACATCCACACATTTCCAAACATGCATTTTTGGATACATCACTAGAATTTCTATTATACGAGAATAATACTACAGTGATGATTGGTGATTCTCAACTTCTTCCAGGAACTTCCCCATCCAACACTAATGAAGATGAAATACTAAGTGCATCCGACTTCTCTCTTTCTATTTATCATGATTTGAACATGAATCAACTATCATGCACAATCAATGCATCACTTGACTTATTCAACATAGAGACAGTGGAAAAGATTTCACAACAATTTCATTCCATCTTACATCAATTATCTGCATCTATTATTGATAATGAAATGAACAAACCAATCTATGAATTATCACTGATATTATCAAATGAACAATATCTAATGCAATCATTGAACAATACACAAATATCATTTCCATCTGCTCTCACTTGTATTCATCATAAATTTGTATATCAAGTAATGAAATATCCACAGAAACTAGCAGTTGAACTAGATGAACAATCTTTGACATATGCTGAGCTTTTTGCTTATGTCCAGATGCTAGCTGTCCATCTTGTAGATCAATATGATATCATCCCAAGTGAAGTTATTTCGCAATGTGTGGAGCGAAGTCTATCTATGGTAAGTTAACCGTTGAAATAAAGATTTACCTTATTTAAAATATTGATACTTATTAGGTCATTGGTATGATGGCAATTGAGATGGCTGGTGGTGCATATTTTCCATTGTCATCTCGGGATCCAGAAAATCGTTTGCATATGCTTTTGCAACAAACACAAAGTCGTCTTGTTCTTTCCCATTATCTGACAAAAAATAAATTTAACGATATTATCCCTTTATTAGACATTGATTCTATGTTGGTCAATAATCATTTATTTCAACATACTGATATTGATCAATTATCATCTATTCATGTGACTATCGATAGCATAGCCTACATTATATTTACAAGTGGTACGACAGGAATACCGAAAGGGGTAAGCATTGAATTTACCATACAACTAACACACAATAAAGGAAATAAATGAGCCATATGAGAAAAAGATTAACTTTTTACTGTTCCCATTAGTTTTTTAAAGAAATCCAATTGTTTTCAAATTCTGTCGATATATTATTTACCAATAAAGAAAATTATTCATTTAGAGGATGTCATGATCTTTTTGTTTATAGATTCGAGTTCGACATAGAAATTTCGTTCAATGTATCTATTCGTTGATGTACATTGATTCATTTACTAACAATGATACAGTGATTCAAATGGCTAGATGTTCATTTGACAATCATATTCAAGAAATTATTGGTTCATTGATAATTGGAGCTGCAATAATCATGCTTCGACCGAGAGGAACTGTGGAATTGAATTATGTTGCTGAAATCATGAGAAACAAACAAGTTACTTACATGCACTCTGTACCAAGTTTACTTCGCAACCTTTTCACTTTTCTCAAACAGAATAATTATTTGCATTTCATAAAATACCTTAGATCACTTTGTACCGTCGGTAAGTAACTATCATACAAGCTATATAATCTTATATTATATTCTCTTACCTTTTAGGTGAGCCATGTTCTATCAAGTTAGTCAATTTAATACTCACTGATCCTACACAGCATTTTACATTTTGGAATTTATATGGTGTAACTGAAATTACTGTTGCTTCCACTTTTTATCCCTTAAACATGATAGTCAATATCGACAATATTCCAGTAGGCGGTCCATTGCCTAATTATCGACATTTGCTTTTGGATAATTTCTTACAATCTGTCATTATTAATCAAGAAGGTGAAATGTTTATAGGAGGTGTAGGTGTTTTCGCTGGTTATCTTGAACGTGATGATTTGACAGAGAGAGCACTCGTCGAGATCGATGGTGAGATATTCGATCAAACCGGTGATCTTGTCCGAATGGATCATAACGGACTTCTTCATTTTGTTGGTCGAAAAGATTTTCAAATTAAATTACACGGACAACGAATTGAACTTGGTGAAATCGAAAGATGTTTACTTACCATTACATATATTTCTGCTTGCGTTGTCATGAAATGGAATGATGATTATTTAGTTGCGTATGTTCAATCACCTCATATTAATGAACAGGAATTGCGTGAACATTGTCAGTCTCATCTTCCACCACATATGGTTCCATCAATATTTATTATACTTGATAAATTACCACTGAATCCAAATGGAAAAATAGATCGAAAACTTCTTCCGCCACCTCACTTCTCCTCTATACATCTCACAAACAGTATAGAACTATTACTACCAACAAATGATATTGAAATTAGTACTCATCATATTTGGTGTGAGATATTTAAACAAAATCAGATCTCAACTGATACAAATATATTTACTATTGGTGGTCATTCACTACTTATAATGCAACTGTTTCATCGATACAAGATCGAATTTCATTTAGAAACAAATACTCTTTCTATTTCAAATCTATTTCAACATCCAACAATTATTCATCATGCTCAACTCATTCAACAATCTGTCAACATCATTCACACTTTGGATGATTATCCTTGGTCTTCATTACATCTTACTCAAGGTAAGCGAAATAACTTGTACTTGAGCTTATCATAAACTAACATATTTATCTTTTTTCTCATTCTAGCTAGAGCATCATTTGCACAAGAAAGAATCTATCTAGATGAA